TGGATGATTGCATGCTTTGAAAATGATGAAAATCTTACAAATATTAATACTGTGAGTGTGGTCTTCACCAGGTCATTTCTCTGAAATTGTCATGATAATGAATGGTGACACCTTTCAATTATTATTTGATTAAGAACACTGTTGCCATCCTCAGTACCAAATAATGAAAATTATTTCTAAACCATGTGGAACATACTCACAATATTCCATTTTGAGATGTAACTGATAGATATTTTTTTTTTGGTTTTTTGAGACAGGGTTTCTCTGTGTAGCTTTGGAGCCTATCCTGGCACTCGCTCTGGAGACGAGGCTGGTCTCGAACTCACAGAGATGCGCTAGCCTCTGCCTCCTGAGTGCTGGGACTGAAATACATTTTGATTCCTCTTCATGATTCCCTTAAATGAGCCTCCTAAAGACACAAAATCCTAATGTGTGTGTGTGTGTGTGTGTGTGTGTGTGTGTGTGTGTGTGTGTGTGTGTGTGTGTGTGTGTGTATGTGTGTGTGTGTAGTCTAGTAGTCATCCATAGAGAGCAAAATTAGTGAAATGGAGAACCACATTTCCTTCAGATGCAGCTACCTGTTTTCAAGACTCCACTTAGATTACCAAATCCATTATGTTGTGTAATTATCATAAAAACCCTGGAAAAGGTACTTATACGTCCCATTATATCAGTAATGGATCTGTGGGTTAAAGAATAAAATCATTTTTTCAAGCTCTTGTGGTGGTTAAAACAGACATAAATCCTGATCTTTTTTTAAACATTAGCATTTCAAATATTATCAAATCTATGAAAATTGCATTTCAAATTAAACTTTTTTCCAAGAAATTATTTTTATTAGTTCAAATTAGAAACAAGCTTGCTTCACATGTCAATCCCTTATTCTTATCCCTCCCCCAATACACTGCTTACTTAAAAATTTCAAAAATGTTTTGTTTTTAGATATTATTCATGTCAATAGAAGAAGTATGTAATATAAAATTATGACATATTTCTTTACCACATAAATGAAAAGTGGTTATTGAAATTAAAGGGGAAAGGGGAAAGGTATAAAATTGACTTCTATTCCTTTAATTTTCTTTACACTGCATTGATTGGGGTGTTTATTATTACTAAAGCACCACATACAAATCTAAATGGAAAAATGAAAACGGGTGCTCAAAAACCTACCATGTGTGTCTCTGAGTTTGACATTTCAGTTCTGTTTCATATGTTATGTCACTAAAATCTTAAGGCAGGAAAGTATCACAAAATATATGAAATAAGAATGTTTTCATTTGTAAATAAGTTTGAATAATTCATTTTTATACTCCAAATCTGACTACTACATCTTTAAATTCTTTTCCACAATATCATAATCATAATAATAGACAGATAAATTATTAAAGTCAGTTTAAATGAAAACAAATATTGAAGCATGTATATAATTGAGTCTAAGAGATTAAAGCTCATGTTACTTCTATACTACCATTATATTTTTGGAAAACATGGACTAAATATTGTTAGTCCTATATAAGTATAAAAACACAAGACGTTTAAGAAATTATCTTTTCATAGCTAGTAGGATTTTTCAATCATTTTGCCTTTTACTTCTGAAATGTAAAAATTTGCTTAAACTGGTTTCTTGATGAAAAAAATACTCATACAACCCTGCAACCCTCAGAAGTCACTAAGATGCATGGATTCTCACTGCATTTTTCTTTTATGCCCCCAATAACTATTATTCTTTATGTAACCTCTGTCTAATTAGCTTGAGATATTCTAAAAAATCTGGTAGATTAGGAGCATGGGATAGGTACCAGGAATATATGTTGGGGGTGATAAGGCTTTTGGGAATAAAATAGCCTGTATGTTAGGCAAAGGCTTTGCAAGGGAGAAGAAAGGCCTTGGGTATCCCTGCAGTCTCCCTCTTCTTGTAAATGGTCTTTTCAAATTCAAACTGTTCCAGAATATTGTGCTTATCTTAAATCTGGGCTCCAGCAGAAAGCCAAGGTAGAATTCAGAAGATGGAGGGTCCTGAATTCTGAGTCACCATCCCAGGAAAGTGAGTATCTTATTTCACTCTGGATCCTTTAGGCTTATTCCCATATCAGGTATCTTGGAGAGATTATTAATATAAGATGTTCCCTTCACACCTTGATCCTCTTAAATAGAGTCTTGCTTTTTTTGCTTTTCACAAATGAAATCCCCATCTCCATCACTAGTACTTGCTGTTCTGTGCCTTTTTGTTGGTAGAGCACACACTCCCTGCTTTGTATTCTCAAACACATCTTTAATAACTTTAGCTCCTTCATCTCCAGAATGCTATAAATCCCTGTTATAAATCTCCACCTCCCTGGTCCACTTCAGCTTGTCAGTTAGAGTAGCAGAAAGCACCTGTTGAGTAGCATGGCAGTTCATTTGCTCTGCTAAAGACCTCCAGTGACTTAATTGTACCCCCAAGGTCTTAAAAATCTATAGCTCCTGATTGCCCATATAACAGCCCCTATCCCAGCCCTCTTCACCATATTAAAGGACCATTGCAGTCTGTGAGGTGAGGAGAATGATAAAGTGACGGAATGCTGGCTTTCACAGAGGAAACTGCTTGAGGTTCCAGCAGAAAACTACCGAGGCTAGCGTGTAACGAAACTACTTGAACCCAGAAACGGACCATTCTGCACATGATCCCCACAGGATCACAGATAAATGTCTAGTCCTGGAGCACAAATGTCTCGTCCAGTCATGCACAAAGCCTCATGATTGAGGAGGCAGCAGTAAGGGCTCTTAGAAATGCACTAACTCCCACCCCAGAAGTACTAGGAATAGACAAAATGACTGACAAAAGTGATAATGAAGGAAAATAAATAAGAAAGGGTATTCAGATTAGAACAGAATGAACAAATAAAAATAACTTTACTTAAAAATAGTCACATAGATGGGAAATCTGACTGAACCAAGAACACAGTGTAAAGCCAAGCAGAGGTGGCACACATCTTCATCCCCAGCACTTGGAAGGCAGAAGTTAGCCTGTTTGACATAGTGAGTTCCAAAGCCACACAGAGAAACACTTTCTTGAAAAGCAAAACAACAAAAAAGGAAAGAACTTGGTGGGTTTAGAAAGATCCCTTGGCACAATCTATTCTGATAGACATAGTCATAATGTTGTAAATGTAAGACAATATCCTACCCTTCTTACAGAGTATTCTGAAGTGAGGGCAGGGAGTTGACAAAATCCCTCACATTGGTGTTTCTGTGTTGTTGGATTCTCACTTAAAGGGTTTCATTTTGTCAGAAAGACAATACAGTGGTGACAAGGATGTGGTGGAAGCAAAATTTGTATGGGAAGGCAAATAAAAGTGCTTTGTGATATATATGGAGATGTCTACAAAAAGGGTTTGTATGCAACTCAATCATTTTGCCTCTGAGAGTCCAGCTTAAGGATATAAATGTTCATATACATTTTTTACAATAGGATATAAACTGGAGTGCCTTCCATATTTCATGATTACATTGTGATGCTTGTTAGATTTTTGTCCTCAAAGAATTTATTGAAAAATGGAAAGATACTATGCTAAAAGGAAAATATTTCAGGAACCAAAATAATACTAACACTAAAAATATACATGTTTCCACTATACAGTTAATATATGAATACAACTGTAGAACCAAGAAATCCCTTTATCTTTAACTATAGAATTAAGAAATTTCAATAATAAAATTAATTTTCTTTTCTTTCCATTTGCATTGCTTGGAACTAAATCAAGAGCCTCTTCCATGCTAGTTAGTTTTTATAGCATATATTTGTTTGTACACTAATATATATATATATATATACACATGTATGCACATGCACACACAAATAATACTAGTAACAAATATTTTCATTTCTTCTATTTCCTAAATTGTCAACTGACTTTGGAGTACTAGAACATTAGAATCCCAGAAGCTACCCCTCATTCCAAGGACACAATAGCAAACCTGAATATTTCTGCCATAGTTCAAAATAAAAACAGTAACTCAGTGTTATTTTCTTCACTATTCATTATTTCAATATTCACTCCTTTAGTGAAACTGAGTGGTCGAGTGTGACAGGATCAAAACAGTGAATATGAAGGCAAAGGGACAAATGATGAAATGCCCTTGTCTTTTCTTGTGGGTGGTATTACATTAGGGGTCGTTATTTCTTCCTCTTCCTTGTTTGTAAACAGCCATAAATACTGGGCGTGGGATATTTCTCATCACTAGGGAGAGCTGGTCAAGGAAGGCATTGATAGATGTTCGGAAGAGAACAGGATCTTCAGTGGTCCACCTACTAAAAGGCAAGGGAGACACACCATCAGGGGAAAGAAAGGAATCTGTGAACTGTAACCGTACTATGTCTTCTTCTTACTTCTAATGTACCAGTTTTTTTCATTACAGAATCCCTAGAATACACATAGCCTTCCAGGCTAAGGCCAGCCCAACTCCAAACTCTTGGAGAACTGACACAGTGAGAGTGGTATCATTCACTGTGAACTCTTGCTGAACCATCACTTGCTGTTGCTGTACATTTGAAGCCAGGGATCTGCAGGCTATGTTTGCCTCCACAGCTGTCCTGAATGGCACAGTTACAGAACTTCAGGAAGGCATGGTTAAGGTATTATCTGTTATTGACTTTCTTTGTGCATTGGGCTTGATTTTACCTCCGAGTTTGCTTTAGCATGTTACAAACTGACGCACAAGGTAACCCACAGCCATTTCTCCAGTGCTTCTAGTCCTCCACACCCTACAGCTTTCTTTTGTATATCTTATTTTATTTAAATAACATTTTAAAATCCATTTTACATACTGGCCAATTTCCCTTCCCTCCTGTGCTTCCTACCCCTCACTTTCCATCCACCCCTCCCCATCTCCATTCAGAAAGGGGCAGGCATCCCATGTTCTTGAACAAATCAAGGTAATCAAGTTGAGGCAGGAGTTTCTTCCTCCTGCATCAGGGGTGGGTGAGGCAATGCAGCATGGGGAAGTCGTTCCCAAAAGCAGCTAAGCTTGCCAGGGATTGGTCTTGATTACTACTAGGAGCCTGACAAACAGACCAAGCTACACAACTGTTACACAAGTGCACAGGACCTAGATTTGTTCCACGCAGGCTCCCTAACAGCTGGTCCAGAGTCCATGAGCTCCAAGAAGCTCAGGTCAGCTATGTCTGTTGATTCCCGTCATGATCCTAACTCACATATTCTACAATACCTTCTCCCTGTCTCCAACAGGACTCATACAGCTTGGCCCAGTGCTGGACTGTGGATCTTTAATGACAAACACAGTAGTCACCAATGTGATTATAGGAGAAGACCAGTTCAGGCACCCTCTCCAGTATTGCTAGCAGTTTTAGCTGGGGTCATGCTCGCAGATCCTGGGACTTTTTCTAGCACTAGGATTCTCCCTAACCCCAAAATGCTCCCTCCCCTGCCTGCATCAAGATATTTTGTCTTTATAGCCCTAAGTCCTTCTTAGACATATATGATTACCTGTTCTGCCTCAATATCCACCCTGCTCAGGATTGGCAGCCCACAGTGCATCCTTCTATCCCCTTTCCAGTTGGATATAAACCTCCCCAAACTATGTCTCCTCTCAAAGGTATTGGGAGTTGCCATAGATCTGCTAAGCTGCTCCCCTGAAAGGATACAACTCCAGGAGTCGACTTCCAGCTGCTGTTGCAGCATCTCCACTGGGTCCAGGGATAACTGGTGCCTGCTCGCCCTGAGA